GCCTGGGGCGGCGGGGTGGCTTCGGAAAACTGGGAAGCACAGCCCCACCCCAAAGTCCGAGGGGTTCCAGAAACTTGGACAGTCTCAGCCTTGTGCTTGACAGCCTGTCCCCCACCTCCCTGAAGGCGGGGGCAAGATTAGTAAGGTGGGGAAATTCCACGTGCGGCGTCCAAAGGGGCGCAGCCACCTCGGGGCCCAAACGCAGATTCATATTCATGAGAGCGAGAGAGATAAAGACAAATCCCCACTGTAATAACACTTGGATTCGCATCCGTCTTCGCTGGCCTTTAGGTTTAGGGGACTGAAGACAGATGTTTGCATCTCTTTTCTCCTCTTGTCTGGTGACCATAAAGAAAAACCATTTAGAGCGTTGCAATTTGTTTCCCGCCGCAGTAAAACCTTGTATACATTTATTTTCATTTCACCCCCGCGCACAAAAAAGTGCACACTGGTCACCAAGGGCCCTTCTTTATCAAATACGCATTGTACAACATACAACTGCAATAAAACTATCAGCCCTCCCCATAAAACTATCAGCAGGCTCCTCGGCGGGCCCGCCGCCTGCACGCGCGCCAGCGGCGCGTCCTCACGTCCAGGGGACGCGCCAGCACCTGAAACCGGCCTGAAACTCACCCAGCGGAGAAGCGCGGGGCTGGGGGGCCGCTGCCGCTGTTTAATCCATTACCGCGTCGGCTGCAGTTTCGTGCGCAATAAAACACGGTGGCAGTGCAGAGCGCGCGCCCATCCACTCCCCGGCACTAGCATCGAATTAAACCACTTAGTTTGGCAAACACTGAACGCCTAAATGCCCCTATAAAGACTTTATGAGTTTGTTACTTTAATTACTGACTTGTTACAGAGCACATAAAGGGGGTAATGAATGCAATAAAACTAATTATCTACACATTTAATTCATATAAAATATCCAGGGTTTGTTTACACCGCACGGCGATTCAACTAAGCATTCCCCCTCCTGTCCACCGAGAGGAAGGCTTTAATGAAATAGTTTCCCTTATTCTGCTAGAGCCTAACGAACCAAATGAAAATTACCCTCCGCTTAAATCATGGGGCCACCGAGGTCCACAAATCACCGCCTGCTTCTTTGTCTGTGCCTCGCCGCTAGCACCCAAAAGCCTGAGGAACTGGACAAGAAAAGTGCCCGACCTGGAACCTGGGCATTTTAAAGAGAAAGGATTTTGCTCACTGCCGTCAGTGAGCCTAAAAGGCAGACAGCAATCCCGCTCCAAGCCTAGGGTCTATGGGGGGCTGTGGGCACCTGAAAAAGTGGAGGCGGAAAAAGAGAGGGAGAGCTCCCCGAGAGGGGTGGGAGAGACCCGTTTGGGGGTACCGCAAGCCTACTCTGCCAGTTATGGCGTAATTAAAACGCACAACCGCGCGGAACCTCCACCCAACAAAACGCAAACCTTGAGCTAAGGCAGAAAGACAGAACTGAGCGCACAGAAGCCATCGTTTGAGAATCCAGATGTTTTAAAGCGGCTGGGTAAGCTGAGTCTCTAGAAAAGCACCTCACGCTGCAACAAGAAATGCAATTTATAAAATGCTTTTTTTTTTTTTTAACCCCCTCTACCAGGTGTATTTTAAAGAAATCCGCTTATCGTTCACATAAACCCCCTTGGCCCACTTACTCTATGTTACAGGGCGCCTGAGTCTTGCCAATGTCCCAGTCCTTTATAACATTTCATGCACTTCGGGGGGTAGGCTTGTTGTTAAATTGAGCGTGTAACGCTCTTACAAAACAGGTTTTCTATGACATCAAGGTTTCTTCTTCCTAACTGAGGGGGGGTGTGTGCGTGGAAAAACAGGACGAAGAACTGGGAAAACACACACACTATCTCAATTTATGCCTAAGGTATATGATCAGTTAAAAAGGCTTAAAAGCTCGGGGAAATTGGATCAGGGAGAATCGTCACCCAACTTTCATTATTTCCAAGTCGTGTGATTGAATTAAAGGGCAGGGAGCTGGTTAGAAGAGAGGATCAGGGGCTCAGTGCGTAATGGTGTGGTATTAAATTCTAATTAGAGATGCAGGAATCAATGATAGGGAGGTTGGACAGCTCAGTTCCCCAGTGCCAGCCCAATAGACGGATGAGTTATTGTCATGTAAAAAGCGCCAGCAATAAGACCAACCGCTTTGCTATTGTCCAAGTGGAAAGAGCCAAGTTTATTATGAGGACTATATGCTCTAGAGACCTCAGACAAGGCATCTCATAGGAGGCTTTTTCATAAAACTAGGCTCTGCTGGTAGTAAGGAGGCCAGTTTGGAGGCAGGCGTTGAGCTGTGCACATCTCCCCACTCCAGCCACCTTCTCCATACCCATCTTTTATTTCCTTTTTCCACTTGGCTGAGCCATCCAGAGCCTTTTCAATGTATAAAATGGAATATTCTTACCTCAATTCCTCTGCCTACGAGTCCTGTATGGCTGGGATGGACACCTCGAGCCTGGCTTCAGCCTATGCTGACTTCAGTTCCTGCAGCCAGGCCAGTGGCTTCCAGTATAACCCGATAAGGACCACTTTCGGGGCCACGTCCGGCTGCCCGTCCCTCACGCCGGGATCCTGCAGCCTCGGCACCCTCAGGGACCACCAGAGCAGCCCCTACGCCGCAGGTAAGGACCGCCGGCTTTCTCGGCGGAGGAAGCCGCCTTTCCGCTCGTATATAGGAAGGCTTGATTGCATTTGAAAATGGAAATGTGTTTAGTATTTACCAAACGAAATTTGCTTACACAAATGAAAGAATTTATCACGTTAGAAGCGATTGCAGGGAGGGGTAATTCACTTACAGGGTTACACTATCCTAGTCACACCCGAACCGCCAACAAAATTATCTTAAGCTGCCAAAATGATAGGCATAATTTATTTACTTTGCGATGAGACGTAAAGCTTAGAAAATAATTAAATAACAAAGAGTAAAGCTCATTACTGGCAGTGTCTCTTTTTTAAAGAGCCGACAGCGGCTCACACCTCTTCGGCTGGTCATTTTTAGGATGATTTCTTTCATTTATGACGATTATTTTGCAGCACTTTCCCCCCAACTTTGGGGCTGGGTCAACTTCTGAGAATCGGAAAGTTCCAGCAGCGAGCGGGCTTGGTAACGTCTTCCCTGGCTCCCTGATATCCCCACTGACGTTTTCGGACTTTTTTCCCCTCTCTCGTTTTATTTTCCCCATCAAAGCGTTATCCCGGGTCCTGGCCCTCAGAGGTCTCCAACGCTCCATTTCAACCCACCCAGAGGCGCCCGTGCCAGGAGGGACCTCGCCAAGCCCCGAAGTTTGCGCCAGTTTCTGTACATAACTGATTTGCTCCGTTTTTCTCGGCAGCTCGTCTTGGCCGCTCTCCCGCTCTGTTGTCGGTGGCGGCTCCAGTGACACCTGACCTTGAAGTCCCCGCGTTCGGGCTCCGCGGCGCGCGCTCCAGGCCCCTTTGCTCACGCCCTGTCCTCTCTGTTGTCCCCAGTTCCGTACAAACTCTTCACGGACCACGGCGGCCTCAACGAGAAGCGCAAGCAGAGGCGCATCCGCACCACCTTCACCAGCGCGCAGCTCAAAGAGCTGGAGAGGGTGTTCGCCGAGACGCACTACCCTGACATCTACACCCGGGAGGAGCTGGCCCTGAAGATCGACCTCACCGAGGCGCGAGTCCAGGTACGCGTTCCCGGGAAATTACTCGGCTCGGCCGCCTCGGGGCCCCGGAGGGGTGCTGCGGGAGAGGAGCGGGGGGGACTACTGATGGTTCTGCATCCCAGAGCCTCTCTTGAGAGGGGCCCGTGGCTCAGGGCTGAACCGAGAGGCCAAGTTTGGAGGACTGGGCGCGAGAGGAAGGTTAGGGCGCGTGCTCTTGGCTGTCTATTTTCACAGCCGTAAAGTGTTTTCCGCCCCAGCCAGCGCTGCAGAGGCATTCGGGAAGTGCCCTTTGGGAAGAGCGCAGACTTTGCCCCCATATGATATATGTATTTTTCTAAACGCTTCCTAAGTCAAGCGCCTTTAACTTGGAGCCATAGCGCATAGGTGCATAGGAACTGTGACTTGCATCAGGTTTGCAAAGGGGCCGTGGCCCCATGAAGGTCAAGAACCGAGGCTTACGCTAACCTTTTAGGGACAGGGCGCCTCTCCAGGTGAGCCCCCCAGTGGAGGGCAGTGCGCACCAGCGCGCGCTTCTCTAGGCCCAGAGGTCAGGGCGCGGAGCGAGCACGAAACCCAGAGACCCCTCCTCCTTCTACCAATCAGGGTTTATTGAACTTTGGACTTGAGGCCTCGGGGCGATGGCGAGTTCCGAGTAGCCCAAGAAACAGACTGAGCGAAGGTCCCACAAAATCAGGGCTTCCTTTTTAGGGCTTTCCTGGGACCTGCAGCCCTCTTACTTCTCTAAGACGCCATCTCCTTGGCATGTTCAAGTCACCCTCCGACAATTTCTCCGAAGACGCACCGGCGACAGCGGGGTGGGGGCCGACTTGGTGGGCCGGGCGCGCACGGCCCCGGGGCGCGCATGGCACAGCTCCCGGGGGTGCCCGCGGCGCGTGGGGTTTAAAACAAAGTAAAGCGGGCGTGCAGGCTCCTAACCCGCGCTTTCCTTCCCGTGTCTTGCTTCCTCCCGGCCGCCCCTCCGCTCCCGGGCAGGTGTGGTTCCAGAACCGCC